TACGGCACGTTAGCGCTAGCATTCTGCCCGCTTCAAATCAGACACAGAAATGAAATAGTGCGGTAAGATCGCATTTATTTGAATGAATTATAGCATTTATTTCAATTAATTATCGATCGATCAAGAGAGAGAGAGATGACAGTTGTGTGTGCGTTACCTGCGTCTGCATGTCTCTCTCTACAAGCAATTAATTACTTAAAAAACAGCGTTTTCACCACATCGTTGCTGAGGAATATAATGTAGCGATCTAGTATCTAGGCTATTTTATTAATAAAAATCGCGGGGAAGCGTTGACAACAAGTTTGTGTGTGCGCATCGCAATCTCCGACTCCCTCTTGTTCTCTCTCTCTCTCTCTGGGGTTTGTGTGCATCAATTAAAGCAGCGCATTAATATGGAACGGTGATTAAACTGACTTGGAACTACCTGTGCATTAAACGGTTTTAATGCATACCTGCCAGCCAATCAGAATCCAGTATTCAGACAGACCATGGAATAATAAAACTTATTTAAATTACTTAACATTTTTTATAAACACTTGTATACTTACATGTATAAAGATCCAGCCATCATCCCTTTAATGAGGATGATGAGGTGCTCTACTGAGATGTTTTGTGTTCAGCTCCTGCCCTCTTGTGGTGAACTGAAGCACACTGTAAACACTGTTTTTCAATTCCCTCAGGCTCCCCAAAACACGCTCGATGGACAACTTGGTGTCTGCTTGTGAGAACGGCGTGCCGCTCACCCGCACCTCGAGTGACCCCAACCTGAACAAGCACTGCCAGGAGTCCAACCAACCCGCGGCCATCCAGAGCGCCGCTTCATCCGAGGACCCGCCTGAGCCGGGGTGTGAGGAAACCAGCTCTTCAATATCTCGTGAGGACGATTTAGGGGTGGAGCCTTGTTTGACAACCCAGCCCCTTCCATCTTTGCCCCACCCCTTAGCGGTAGACCAAGCCCCGCCCCTTCCGGTCACAAACCAAGCTCCGCCTCAAATCCCAATTAGCTCACCACAGGAAATCAGGACTGCAGAAAACACAAATCCACCTCTTTGTAACGGCTTCGCACACGTAGGAAACGCTAGCGGATCTGCGAACTCTGAAGCCATTGCACCAATGGAGGCGTCAGTGGAGACGCTAACGGAGCAAAGCGCAATCCCTCCTTCTAGGAAAGCCATTGACGTGGCGTTCGAAACGCTGATACGAAACGGCGAACTGGTTCCCACCAGAGAACGACCACCACCCGCCGACTACGCCAAAGCAGCCCGCCGTTTGATTTCCCAAAGCCAACTGACAGAGCTATCGCTGCTAGGTTCCCAATGGGACAGCGTCCAAGGCCTGGTCCAGTCGGCCTGCGGCGGCGCCATCAAACATGGCAGCTATCACAGCCGCCGCCTAGCAAACAAGCTCCTCCGTGCCCAAGCCGGAAGCGCTAATGGCGGGCCGTGTTGCCGTCGAGACCCTCTGCGCGCTCCTGGAAGCCCCATCCAGTCGGGCTGGTTCTCTGCGGTGAGGAACTCCAGCTACGCCGCGCTTTGTTCCTCGGCGGCGTCTTCGCTAGCAATGGGACCGTCCTTCCGGCAGCTGCTCCCGTCGCATTCCTCGGCCTCCTCCAGCGGCTCTCCGGCTCCGGCGCACCTGGACGACGACGGGCTGCCGGTGGCGGTGGACGCGGTGCAGCAGCGGCTGCGGCAGATCGAGGCCAGCTACAAGCAGGAGGTGGAGGTGTTGAGGCGGCAGGTTCGACAGCTGCAGCTCAAACTGGAGAGCAAGCAGTTCTGCACGCCGCCCTCTGAACCCGACGTCGACTACGAGGACGATATCGTGAGTCTGTGTTCCCAGTACATTTATCATGCTCACTGTGGGTCCTTCAAAAATCCAACATTCAGCCGTGACAAACTTTATATCGTTGGAAAGGTCTAAGACTCCTAAATAGATATTTTACCACAGTTTTTTTGTTAAAAATTATGTAGGAAAAGTAATAGATTAATTTATGACAAGAGTGCACCTCAAAAATCTACATCATAACAGGAGTTCTGACCTTTGTCACAAAAAGTCTTCTTTGTTGCCTTTTTCTCTATCACACTTTAGAAATCATCAGCAATTATATATCAATTGAAAACTTAAAATCTCAAAATTCATCCTTTGAAAACCATTTTAAAATCAGACATTGCATTACCATGAAAATGGTACATCAATATCATTTTACAAAATGTTTTCATTCATGAATTATAAAAATTTAAGTTTGGATCGTGCACTTTCACTTTTACTTAAGTATCTTAAATGGTGTAACAGAACCATGGCCTACTGTGATTATTAAACTTCAGAAGGCTTAATAATTTAATATTTTTAATGTTTAGTCAATCATTAGTTAATATTAGTCAATATTTTTGTAATGTTTAATGTATAGTTAATCATTTTTAATTTTTGCTATCTATAAACATTTGTTTTAAAAGTAAAATGTAATCCAAAAAGAAGAATATATATATATCAGTGCTGTGAAACGATTAATCGCATCCAAAATAAGTTTTTGTTTACATAATATATGTGTGTGTACTGTGTATATTTATTATGTATATATAAATACACACATACAGTATACATTTTGAAAATATTTACATGCATATACATTTATATATTTATAGTCTTATATTTTATATTTTGTCTAAATATATTTAATATATAAACATGACATATTTTTCTTGCTGTGTGTACATTAATGAGGAAAAAAAATTAACTTAAATGATTTTAGCAAATGGCTGCAATATAACAAAGAGTGAAAAATTTAAGGGGGTCTGAATACTTTCCGTACCCACTGTATATATATGCATGTGTTTGTATTTATATATATATATATTCATAATAAATATACACAGTATGCATACATATTATGTAAACAAAAACTTTAATTTTGGATGCGATTAATCGGCTGACAGCACTAATATATATATATATATATAAGAAATTAGTTTCAAAAACATTTTAAAAAGGTAATTCAAAAATAAGAATATTTATTTATTATTTATTTATTTAATTTAGTTTTTTTTTTTTTTTTTTTTTTT